ATATGGTCAACTATGGTTTGAGTCCTAGACCTGGTGGCTTGCATTCTTCCTTTCCTTCCCTCTCTTTTTCTGTGTCTCTCTGATGAGCACACATGTCCTATAGCAAATTAAATAACAATAATAAAGCTAAAAAAAAAAGAAAAGAAAAGAAAAGAGAACCTCTCCTACAGATCTATTTACCCACAAGGGAGATAAAATACTACTGTTGATAAAAGAAAAATATTAAATTATATATGATGTCCCCTACATACTACATAGTCTGTAGACGAACCTCTACATACTATGCTTTCATAGTATGTAGAGCTTGCTATTTTTTTAACTTTCCAGAGGGCACCATATGCTTATGGAGGTGGAGAAAGCACCTCCCCAAGAACATGGTCACACCACAACCCCTTCTCCTCCTCCATCCCTTCTTCCTCTGAGGATGTTGGATAAGCACCCACACGCACAACCCCTTCTCCTCCTCCATCCCTTCTTCCTCTGAGGATGTTGGATAAGCACACACACCACACATCTGGCATGTTTCTCAAGCCACTGTCTGGAATTCAAACCATGTGGTTGGCTATGTGGGATCTAGCTACCCCAACTACAGAGCTACTGACTGGTCCCCTTCTTGTTCTTCTGTTCTGGCAACCTTTGCTGGTACCATTTGGGTTTCATATAGGGGACGCTTCTCTTCTCTTGACTTCTACAGCCCAATTGTGAGAGAATTCCTCCCCTGCATTTCCTATACCCCAGCAGAGACCAGCCTACAATGTTTAAAGGGAAGTGGGGAGCGGCAGATAGCATAATGGTTATGTTGCTGGACTCCCAATAGTCAACCATGGTTTCAGTCCTGGACCTGGTGGCTTAAAATCACACCAGGTGCATATGCCTGCATGTCCAAAATCCCAAGAAGAAAATGGAAAAGGGATTGCAGCATTGCAGCATGGCATCCTGTGTGTGTGTGTGCGTGTGTGTGTGATTTCTCTCTTTCTGTCTCTCTGTCTCTCTGGAGAGCACACTCACCCTATAGCAAAAATCTCTCTTAAAAAAAAGGGGGGGGGATGCTGGCAAGTGGTGTGGTTGTTAAGGTTGCTGGACTCTCACACGGCGGACTCTGGTTCGAGTCCCAGACCTGGCAGCTTACCTTCTCATTTTTTCTCTCTGTCTCTGTCTCTCTCTCGCTCTGTCCCTCTCTGTTCAAATTAAAATAAGCAAATAAATAAAGTTAAATAAAATAATTCTTTAAAAAATATTTCAAGAATAAATAAAAGGAAGCGTAAGGAAAGACGATAGCTTCCAATGACTGCACAAACTCAGATCTCTCCTCAGGACCCTCTACTGGCTCATCTTCCTGCTGTGTTTTGGGCCTGGCCTCCTAATAGCAAGAGCTAATATTAATCACCACCAGGAGGGCTCAGGAATCTTCCCGCTGAGAGTCCAAGCACACTGGTCCAGGGCTCCAGAGAGAAAAGGAATTTCCCCTCACTCCAGTCTATGGAGTGCCTACCAGACTATTTCGGCCGCAGGACTGGGCTCTTCCAGACAATTAGCAATAGTACTATGCTCTCCCTTCAAGAAGTATCCCCTGCACGTTCACGAGGGTATATTTTAGCCTTATAGTCCTCAATTTTACAATTGCAATAATCTACAATAAATATGTTTCCAATGTCTAGTCAATCTGACCAGATATCAAATTAAGATATGTAATGCTGACCTGTGGGAAAATAGGCCAAATAATTCCAGTTTTTTGGGGTATCTCCTCATCAAGGGCTTAAAAATCCTGGAGTCTGTGGTCCAATCTTGCCTAACATCAACTTCTGACATAACAACAAAACAAAACACAAAAACAATGGACCCGCACGCTAGTGTAGCAGCTAAGCACTGTGCGTAGGGAACCAGATCCCACACAGCCTTCCATGGCTCAGAGCCCATCCCCACAGGCTTGCAAAACACCCTGGGCCCATGTGTGTGCTCAGAATCCTGATAAGATTCAGAAATAGAGGAAAAAGGATTACGGTGTGAGCACACCCCATTGGGGGTTGCTTTCTCTCTCTCTCTCTCTCTCGCCTCGCTCTCTCTGGCAAGCAGACATGTTCTCTGGCCATAAAAAAAATTGTAAAACAACAAAAAAGAATGTTCCTTAAAAAGAAAAGAAAGAACAACCAGATATTTACAGCATTAGAGAAGGGAGAAACATAATGGTACCAAGAGGCTGTGATGAGCTCACTGTGGTTATTGAGCTTTATATGGAGCTCTAAGTTTCACTTGTTGCAGGAAGAATGATTTGGATTGTGTCATTGTCCTTCTTTGGTGAGAGGATATTTGTCCCTAGATACAAACTTGCAATTCAAGGATAAATTCGTCCCAGATTTTTCTATAAAGAATATTGAGCAAGGGCATAAACAGTCTCTTCAGAGGTAGCATAGCAAAAAATTTTAAGGTGAAACACCGCCATGCCTGAGAGGCAGATTCCAGAACTCCATAGGAAGGTGGGCAACGAGATAGAAAGAAGGGAAGCATCTGGGGAGATGTGTCCGTGTCAGGAGGGGAGGCAGTAAGGACACCCAATGTCTCTTACAGAGACTGCGGTCTGGCAGGTTGAGGGGTAGTGTGCTAGACGGAGCATTGCATGCTGTGTGAACCCCCTATGGGCACTCTGTCTTGCCCCTGCCTTCTACTTCACAGAGTCATGGTTTTGTTCAGCTACCCACTTCTCCCCACTGCAGCCACGAGCATCTAGCATTGGGGAGGCAAATCGAAAGGCGATCCCATCCCCTTGGTCATGATCGCAAATATATCTGTGACCTGCTTCTGAACAATGGGCATGGAGCAGGCTGCAGAGATTCTGAAGAAATTTTTTTGTTTGTTTCAAAGACAGAGCCAGAAGAGATGCTTTCTCTTCCTCCTCCGGATTTTTGTATGATGCCTAGATTGCTTAGCCATTTTGCTGCTTGAGAACGAAGTCAACACTAAAAAGAGCCCACAGAAAGCTGGAAAGCACCTAGCTTCTTGGGCTAGTTCTGTGGCCTAGTGGTGAAAGGAGCCAGATCCCTCATGGCTGACTATGGTTCAAATCCCAGCCCTAGCAGCTTGAAAAAGATGCCTGGCACATGTGCACGTGTGCCCCAAATCCCAACAGGATGGAGAGGTGGAGAAAGAATTGCAGCATGGCCACACTCATTGTGGGGTGCTTCCTACCCGTCTCTCTGGGGAGCACACATGCCCTCTAGCTAGTAAAAACAAAGAAGAACCTGGATTTATGATGACGTTGCTGAATTGGCCAACCAGGAAACTTGCCCTACTTCTAAACTTTTTCTTGTGTACAATAACATGTTTTCTTATTTTAAAGTAAAATTCATTTGAGAGTTCAGTTTCTTGCATCCTTTCTTCTGAAAGCATACACTGCAAAAGTATTTATAGGAATCTATCAGTTGCTGAGAATGATTTTTTTTTTAATTGCCAGTGGATGTGTGCACTTGCCAGAGTGAAAAAGAGAGAGGTGGGGAGGAGAAAGCACCCTCCAGTGGGACCTGGTCACACTGTGATTCTCCTCCATTACTCCATCCTGTTGAGATTTGGGGCTTGTATGCACATGTGCCCTGTGTGTTTTTCAAGTTACCGGAGCTGGGATTCAAACCATGGTTGGCCATGTGGGATCAAGCTGCCTTAACTACTAGGCCACAGAGCTGGCCTGAGAGAAGTGGTTTTTTTTTTTTTTTAATTAAAGAATTATTTATTTAATTTTTAATTTATTCATTCATCTTATTTTTCAATTTGACCAGAAAGACACAGAGAGAGAGAGTGAGAGAGGGAAAGTGAGAAAGCAAGCCACCAGGTCTGAGACTTGAACCATGGTCGGCCATGTGGGAGTCCAGCGCCCTTATCCACCACGCCACCTGCCGGCCCCGAGAGAAGTGGTTTTTAAATGATAACACATTTCTACTCCCATAGAGCTATTCTTATAGTAGAGGAGACCCACACATTAAACAACTGGTTTCACAATTAATTATTTAATCATAATAGAATAAAGTGATTCGAAGGAGAAAGTACGTAAAAGAGAAGCTAATCTTTTCTGATTGTGCCATGTTCCTTTCTCAGCCTTTTTTCTTTTTATATATGTTTTTCTCTTTTTTTGCTATAGGGTATGTGCACTCGCTGGAAAGATACAGAGAGAGAGAAAATGAAATCACCCCCCGGGAGGATGGTCATGCCACAATTCCGTCTCCATTCTCTTCTTGGGATTTTGAGCCCTCATGCACACATGCTGCTGGGTCTAGGACTCGAACCACAGAGTTTGACACATAAGATCCAGTGCCTTAGTCACCATGGCACCTGCTGCCCCTCTCATTCTCTCTCTTAACTGGAGTCTTTAATTTCAACTCTGTTTCTCATAGAAAGGTAGTTTGCCCTCAGTTCTAAGCTTTTTGTTGGCAAGGTCTCGTAGCATCCATTTTGTTGATTAAAGACAGGCTTGAAATATAGGACCAATAGGCAGCTAGGCTGACAAGCTTCTGTGAAAATCGTGGAGCCTGAATTGCATTCTTTCTTGGATGGAAGAAGTCCAACCAGTTGGTTTGCCTAGGATGAGTAAATCCTACTTCACTCATCATCCTTGCCAAGAAATCGTAGGAAATGAGACAACTAGGGGCTGGGGACCAAATCTGGAGAAAGCTCACATCAGTGCAATCATGTATTTCGTATATTATGAGCAAGCATTCTATGAGTCATCAGCTAGTAGATTTCTGATGACAAAATAGCAGAATCAAGGTCTTTTTCCCATCCTTCTTTACTCAGAAATCAACCAAGAAGACTCATAAAAACACAAATGCCTTTTTTTTTTTAAAGTTTGCTATAGGGTGCATGCACTCATGGGAGGGAGACAGAGAGAGGGAAAGTGTGAAATCACCCTCTGAGGGGATGATCATGCTGCAATCCCTTCTCCATTCTCCTCCCAGGATTTTTGGACAGGCATGATGCCTGGCATGTTTTTCAAGCTGCCAGGTCCAGGACTCAAACTACAAAGCCAGCCATGTGGGATTCAGTTGCCTTAACCTCCATGCCACCTGGTTGGCTCCAGACTTCATCTTTGATGACATATGGAGAGATCTGAAATAGAGAAAGCAGATGAAGAAATCTTCTTTAAAAATGGAAGAGGGGGAAGCTGCTACAGCAGAAATGTCTGATGCCTCATCCTTACCTCCTCAGCCCACCCCTGATTTCAGCCACAGCTCGAACTCGACGATATTGAGTGTCATGCGTCAAGCATATGACCTGCATTTTTTCTCTTCTGGCCCTGGAGCATCTTCAGTAATATAAAGCTGTTTGGTTTCTGTGTGAGTGAAATGCAGTTTGGAGAGAGGTACGTTAATGTCACTGGATACAGTCTTCAACCAAAGGGGATTGCAGAAAGAGCGAGCTGTGGTTTGACTGTGCCCCTAAAAGGTGATATGTTGGAGACTTAATCCCAATGTGACAGTGCTCAGAGGTGGTTCCTTTAAGAGGTAATGAGGTCATGAGGGCTCTGTCCTCAAGAATGGATAAACTCAATTTTTACAGGAGTAGATTAGTTATGAGAGTGGATTCCTAATAAAAGTATGAGTTTGGTGCCTTCTCTCTCTCTCTCTCTCCCTCTCTCTCCCTCTCTCTCCTCCCCCACCCCCTCTTTCTTTCTCTCTCTCATGTGCGTGCAGTCACTTACCTTTCTGCCTTCTGCCATAGGATGGCACAGTGAGAAGCCCCTTGACAGATGCTAACACTTTGATATTGGACTTCCCAGCTTCCAGAACTGTGAGAAATAAATGACTTTGCTTTATAAATTACCCGCTCTGTGGTACTCTGTTAAAGCAACACAAAACAGACTAAGGCAGAGTGGATAAATGCTCCAGCATGCAGTGCTTACGGTGGACAGTTCTGAGAAATGAGGCACTGTGCTCACTTCTCAGTCCTCACTGCCACACTGATGATCTGATCGCATTGCATTCTTTCCCTCTTACATTGGCTTTTCTTTCTTCTTTGATACTCTATTCTACTTCTTCACTCCTGCTTTCTGGGATCTTCTCCTAAACAAACTCTTAACACCCAAGTTTTTGTCTAAAACTTTATTTGTGGGAAGTCCAAACTAGGGCAGGAGATGTTTGTAGGGGGAGAAACTGACAAGAAACACATCAATTTTCCCTGCAGTATTCTATGTAAGATGCCCCTATGAAAAAGCCAGCCATCTGCCTAAGCAAGCTACAGCAAAGTCCTAGAGTCAACCAGTCTGGCCCACATACATATTGTAACCAACCTTATGGTGCCTTATTCTTTTCTTTCTCTGAAAGAATGTTAACTTTTTGAAATTATCTCAAGTCTCTAGAAAAGTTGCAAGAGTAATAATAAGAAATTTCCCCCTTATTTGAGAGTAAGGGTCCAGCATGATAACCCATTATCACTGAGCACTTTAATATGTATTTCCTCAACACAAGGACATTCTCCTATTAGCCACAGTATGATCATCAAAATTGGGAGATTGACATCAGCAAGTTACAAACATCTAACTTTCAGACCCCATACAGGTTTCCCCAATTGTCCCTATGAAGTCTTTTTTTAGCAAAGGAACCAGTTCAGTATCCTGCGTTGCGGTTAATTGTTATGTCTCTCTCTTTCTCTTTCATAAATTTATTTATTTACTTTTAAATTCCAGATAAGTTGTGCACTTGTCAGAGAGAGACAGAGAGGGAGAAAGGATCTCCCAGTGGAATATGGTCATGCAATGATTCCTTCTCCTCTGTTTCTCAATCCTGTGGGGATTTGGGGCATGCACACACACCTGCCTAGAGTGTTTCTTAAGCTCTGGGGCTGATATTTGAACCACAGTTAGTCGTGTGGGATCTGGCTCCCTTAACTACTAGGCTGTGAGACCAGTCACAGCTATCATCTCTCTTTAATCTGACAGAGTTCTTTAGTCTTTCCTTGACATTCATTCATGATCTCGACACATCTGAAGATTGCGATTCTATTAATAGTTATTTTGTAGACTATTTTTCAACTGAGGCTTGTCTGATGTTTTCTCATGATTAGATTCAGGTCATGCATCACAGGAATGATCTTATGCATTCATTGCATCCAATCAGGTGGCACACAGTTTCAGTTTGTCTCGTTACTAGATAATCACTTTCATCATTGATTTAGGTGGTGTCTGTCAAGTTTTTTACTGAAAACTGACTCTCTTTAAAAAAAAAGGGTAGATGCTTTTAAACCATGCAAAAACACTGTTTTTCATCAAACTTTCAACTTATTCATTTCTTTATTGAGACCAGTGTGTGCTCATGGGTTTCTATTTTTCTCTTTTTATTAACTTTTCTTTTTTAAAAAATAGATTTTAAAAATTTTAACTTATTTTATACATTCAATCACTATATATCACTTAACTTGTAAAGTGAATTTACCCAACATGAATACACCTCACACCCATCCAGTTGAGAATACTATACGTGTTAACATCAACAAACAGCAATCCATTTCTATATCCCATAAATGTCTTGCTTCTCTGTTTTTTCTCCTTAATTTCTTTTCTCACATTCTCCCTTTTCTCCCAGCCTCTTCTCACACTGTCTCCAGTAACCATAACCATTTCCCATGCTTCTATATCCTTTAATCTTTCAGTTTCACCATAGAGTGCAGATAGTCAGTATATATTAAGTGGATGGAGTCATACAATGTCTCTCTTTCATAGTCTGGCTTGATTCACTCAGCAGTAAATCTTCCATCTTTGTCCACTTCCTATCAAATTCCAGGATCTTGTGGGGGTTTTTGTTTGTTTGTTTAATGGCTGAGTAATATTCCATGGAGTATATATGCCACACTTCCTCAATCCATTCATCTGTTCATGGACATTTGGGTTGGTTCCATGTCTTAGCAATTAAGAATAATGCTGCAGTAGGGACCAGCAGTTAGCGTAATGGCTATGTCACTGAACTCCCATGTAGTCCACCGCGGTTCCAGTCCTGGACCTGGTGGCTTAAACTCATGCTGGGCGAGTGTGCGTGCATGTCCAAGATCCCAAGAGGAGAATGGAGTAGAAAGGATTGCAGCGTGTGGCCAACCCCCCTGGGGGGTGATTTCTCGCTCTCTGTCTCTCTCTGTCTTTTTGGTGAGCACATGCGCCCTATAGGAAAAAAACTCTAATTTTTTTTTTTTTTTTTTTTTTTTTTTTGCCAGAGGGTTTGTGTGCTTCTCAGAGAGGATTGGGTGAGAGACAGAGAGAAAGTGAGAAAGGACACCCCATGGGATGGTCACTCTGCAATCCTTTCTCCATTTCTCCCTTTGGGATTTGGGGCATGCCTGCGCATGTGCCCAGCCTGGTTCTCAAGCTGCCAGATCTTGTTACCAGCCCTTCAATGCTTTATTCTTTTGAACTGCACAGTCAGCCATGTGGATCCAGCTGCCTTAACCATCACACCACCAGCTGGCTCTGAATGTTTAACTTATATCTTTTCCAGGTTAGCTGTATGTGGTACGATATTCTCTTGTGATACTGGGCAGTGTGGCAGTGAGAGATTCTAATTTTCACTTTCAGTACAATATTCAATAAATTACATGAGACTCTCAACACTTATAGAATAAGCTTTGTCTTCGATGATTTTGCTCAACTGTAGTTGTAAGTGTTCTGAGCACATTTAGGTAGGCTAGGCTAAGCTATGATGTCTGATAGATTAGTGTACTAACTGTATAAATATATACAGCTCAACAATTAAAAGACAACCTAATGAAAAAACGAGCAAAGGATCTGAAAAGACATTTTTCCGAAGATCAATAAACACACCAACAGATGCTCAGCATCATTAGCCATTAGAGAAATGCAAACCAAAGCCACAATGAAATTTCACTTCATCTCCACCAGGATGGTTATAATTTCAAAGACAAGTGTTGATAAGAATAAGGAAAACTTGGAATCCCCACACTTGGCTGTTACGAATATAAACTGGTTTTGCTGCTTTGGAAAATAGGTGGGCAGTTCCTCAAACAATTAGACGTAGAATTACTACACGACCTAGCAATTCCATCTCTAAGTACATACCCAGAAAGGAAATCAAGGATTTATGTAAAAATGTACACATAAACGTTTCTAGTGATTTTATCATAATAGCCAGAAAATGAAAATAATCCAAATGCCTGCTAACTGATAAATGGTAAATAAAATATGGCATGTTCGTGCAAAAGGATATTATTGGACAATCAAAAGGAATGAAATGAAAAATAAATAAATAACAGGAATGAAGCACTGACATGTGCTATAACATGGATGAAACTTGAACCACTATGCTAAGTGAAAAAAAAAAAAAAAAAACCTACAGCATCTGTATCTCTATCTACCTACTTTCCAATCTATCTCTTTGTCTTAGAAGCCAGCCTTGCAGATGAGCAAGCAAATATTTGGCGTACAAAGTTCTACCTCACTGCTAAACCCCGAATGCTACAGAACAGACTGGAAGTGTGTGACAGCCTCATGGGTGTGATCATTTGGGTCCGCTTTGAAGCATGAGTAGGCATTAACTAAGGGTGAAGATGGAGAGAGTATTCCTCGCAAAGCAAACACCATGTGGTGAATGTGAACATAAAACATCCATTAAAGAGGGAACCAGCAGTTAGCGTAATGGCTGTGTCACTGGACTCCCACGTAGTCGACCGCGATTCGCGTCCCGGACCCGGTGGCTTAAAACCCACACCGGGCGTATGTGCGTGCGTGCCCAAGATCCCGAGAGGAGAATGGAGGTGAAGGGATTGCGGCGTGGCCATCCCCTCTGGGGGGTGATTTCTCGCTTTCTGTCTCTCTGTCTCTCTCTGTCTGTCTGGCAAGCGCACGCACCCTATAGTGAAAAACCTCTAAAAAAAAAATCCATTAAAGAAATGTGAACCAAATAACTGCAAGGTGTTAGCTAGAGTAGTGCTTGCTACAATTCTGCAGTAAAAAAAGTTCAGGGAAAAACTCTTGGGTAACATGTCCACCCTGGACATTAGCCAATGATGGGAATGAGGATAGGGGGAGGGAGCAGATACATGGCTGCCTGGAGTAAGCTGGGGAGGAAGAGGGTAACAGTTTCTCTGTAGAAACCTCATACCTCCATATGCACCCCTCTGGAGCTCTGCCTGCATGTCCCAGGCTTGTATGCATTTGCGCAGTGCTGACAGCTGTTCCTGGGTTTCCTTGGGATTACACACCCTTTACTCTTTGCTCCTGGTCCCAATGGTGCCATCAAGGGACAGACAGTGAGTCACCGGCCAAAGCACAGGGTGCTGTGGGTCTGAAGAAAGCAAGGAAGGTGAGGGTGCCTGGCCTCGAGACAACTGGGCAGGATCTCATCTAAATGGTTCCTTGCTAGCCAGCTTAACTGTGCCTCTGAGTAATTTCCATTAAATTGCCACCCCAAGGCACTAATAAGGTGATCTGGGAGACAGCCAGTATTTTGCATAATTCCCAGAAAGCCGGTACTGAAGGGAGACCAGGATTGATTCCATTGTATCTTCTAAGACAAAATGGGCACATGCATGAATGTGTCATTGTAACAGCAGAGGCTGAAGGACATCTGGTGGCCCCCTGTTGAGGAACCAACCCTAAAGACCCTCTGGCATGGCCTAGGGGGAGGAGAGAACTTCAACTTTTGGAGTTTTGCTCCAAAATTGGCCTACATCTGGGTCAGGCAGTGTAACTATAGCATCCCCCATGCTGGGCTCTTACCTGAGCCAAAAACATGTTCAAGCCTTAGTGCATGTTTATAAAATTCTCCCTCACCCACCTCA